TAGTCGTCGTCGTAGTGGTGGTGGTGATGGTTTTGATTCGGCATAGTACAGTGATTACGCTGGTATGATGCTTGTTCTCGGCACAGAGCAGGTTCCAGTTGCTTTGGGGTCTGTGGCATCGAAGGTGCCAGCTGCTGTCAGCAACTACTACAAGCGCGAGGACTGTTCACTGCAGAGCTCCTTTGGCGCTACGCAGTTTTCACCTGACATGCCTTGAATCATATGTAGTTGCCTTGAGCTCTGCATCGTGCGCCGAAGGACAAATCAGGTGCAAACAAGCTCAGGGAGCTCATCAATGAGGACAACCTTCATGACAGAGATGCAGGCTGCAGCGTTCGTGCGTGAGCTGTTTCATTCACGATGGTGCTTGCAGGAGCAGGCCGAAGAAGCGGCGAAGGGAGAGCGAAATGAATCGGAGACTGAGGCATCGAGCACTTTCGCATTTTTTTCTGCGCACTCTCTCAAAAAACGTATCAGCAGCTGCGAAAACGCCGCCGGTGCCCAGGCTCAGGTGAATCCCGAGCAGGAGGCCGAGACCGCGACCATTTGTTTGTCTCGCTTCAGGGTTTTCAGGGCTCAAGGTTTCGGGGGGTTAAACCCTAAACCCCTAAACCNNTAAACCCTAAACCCTAAACAGGTTTTTCTGTAGGTGTTGGGGTTGGTTGGTGTAGTTGGTGCTCACGGCGACTGTTTTTGCATTTTATATCTTATGCGACAATTGCAGGAGGATAGCGAGCTGCCTCCAATCTTCACGACAAGCCTGTGGAAAAGGCGTGCATCGTAGTAGTCCTGGAAGGATTCGGTTCCTTTGCAAGTTCGGATGGTTCTGCTTTGGCTTCGACATGTCTTTCGGATTCTGCGACCGTTTCGGAGATGATTCGGCATACGGTTTGATGCCGAAGGTCTACACTGAAACAACGTTTCCGACATCGTCGTACACGCAACATGCACGGCAGTAATCATTAGTCATCATCATCATCATCATCGTCAGTTTCATCAGCGCCATCATGCTGAACATCATCCACATATCCACGACTGCCGGCACTGCTCACTTTCGTGCTTGTACGAAGTCCCACAAATTTCCGACAAATTCGCTGCCGTGACGCGAATTACTCGGCAATCAATCGTTTCGACACAAGTTCAGGCATGGCTACCAACTGTCAGGCTATCAGCCGATTGTGTTGCTTGCTTTTCCCTTCTCGCAAAGCCAAGAACCATTCAGCCGAAGGTCTGAGTACTCTAAACCCTGAACCCTAAGCCCTAAACCCTAAACACTAAACCCCGCCTGCCCTAGAGGGCTCTCCGCGGACGAAGTGGAAAAAAGGCTTTCAAAAGAAAAATAATCACTAAACCCTGATCTGAGCCGCAAACTTCCGGGCCGCAAGTCCAAGCGACCACCACACTCTCGATATCAGCTACTGCTTGACTGGGAGTTTCTGAGAAATTCCAGCCTCTTCGCCTGCCACAGCAATAGCAAGAGCATTGGGAATAGTAGTGACCACCACAGGACTTTTATTCAGAACCGGCATACTCGCAGCAACCTTGGCAACAGCAAGTCCAAGAATTTTCAGCAAACCTCATAGCAACCGTTGACAAACTTTGCCGCACAGGTCTGCCCTTGCATTGCTGGTCTACGGCAACGTGGCAACTTCCCTTGCATTTTCAGATCAGCTTTAAAGTTCAGCCTTAATGCCTTAAAGTCCTCTTGGGCAAATCGTAAGTCGTAGGTGCCGTGCAGAGTGGTATTGACCATGCTTCATGCGATGCAGCATGCCCCAGATGAAAGGACTTGAGACATGCCGAAGACATAGGTTGGTTGGGTTGTTCAACTGCTTCTCGTGCCGAAAAACATCGACTTCAGAGCAGTCACGGAAACGAAGACTGCCTGCAGATTAAGCTGAACTGCTTCGTGCCGTGCGCAATATAAAATGGTCGGGCTTAGGCGGCATACGGCTTTGGTATCGCCCCGTAAATAACAGTGCTGAGCATAGCATGCGAGTTTTCATATGTAGACGAAAACTACGCCTTGGCCACACTGGCCGATGCGTCGTTCACAGTATTCGTGCTGTTGTTGTTCTTGTTGTCGTGGTCCTTGTTGTTGTTCTTGCTATTATCGTTGTTGTTGTTGTTGGCTCGGACCACCGGTAAACGCGCGTTTTGAATGTGGTTAATCCACCGGTATTTCCAGTGATTCGCGTGGGTCACATGCCGAAAACACCA